GGAGGAGGTGGTGAGTGGTAGTAATACGGTGGTGGAGGAGATTTCACCGGTGGGGGAGGTGAATGGTAATAGTACGGTGGAGGAGGAGATTTGACCGGAGGGGGTGGTGAATGGTAGTAGTAAGGTGGTGGTGGGGATTTCACTGGTGGAGGTGGGGAGTGGTAGTAGTATGGTGGAGGAGGTGACTTCACCGGAGGAGGTGGTGAGTGGTAGTAATATGGTGGTGGTGGGGATTTGACCGGAGGAGGAGGAGAGTGGTAGTAGTATGGTGGTGGTGGTGACTTCACGGGCGGTGGTGGAGAATGATAGTAGTACGGCGGTGGGGGAGATTTCACGGGAGGAGGTGGGGAGTGGTAATAATATGGTGGTGGTGGGGATTTCACCGGAGGAGGTGGGGAGTGGTAGTAGTAAGGTGGGGGAGGTGATTTCACCGGAGGAGGTGGTGAATGGTAGTAGTATGGTGGTGGAGGAGACTTCACCGGAGGGGGTGGGGAATGGTAGTAGTATGGTGGTGGAGGGGACTTGACCGGAGGGGGTGGTGAGTGGTAGTAGTATGGTGTAGGAGTGTGAGTTGGAGGTGGTGGTGACTTGTAAACATAAGTGGGAGTAGGCGGTGGTGGAGACTTGTAGACATAGGTCGGGGTAGGTGGTGGTGGTGACTTGTATACATAGGTCGGAGTTGGTGGTGGAGGAGACTTGTAGACGTAAGTTGGTGTAGGAGGAGGAGGTGATTTGTAAACATATGTTGGTGTTGGAGGAGGCGGCGACTTGTAAACGTAAGTCGGGGTCGGTGGTGGTGGAGATTTGTAGACGTAAGTTGGAGCCGGAGGTGGTGGTGACTTGTAGTAGTAAACCGGAGAAGGGGGTGGTGGAGATTTGTAGTAGTAAGGAGGATGGTAAGGAGCCGGTTTGTGACATTCTCCGTAAGGTTTCTTAGGTGCATAAGCAAAGGACTTAGCATAAAGCACAACCTCGTACTTAGTCTTTGATTTCACATGTAGTTTAGCTCCTTTGTTACCCAAATGGTAACTTGTCGGAATGCTACACGGTGATCCCTTAGGCGGCGCGTGAAGCTTGGCCGTACATACTTCACCACCGTATTTACGGTAGTTGTATCCTTCGACGGTGATTGCGTATTTACCGTTGATCTTAGTCTTTCCATAAGCCTTCACTGTCTTGTCACCGGCCTTACATGTCACTTCCACAACGGCACCTAAATGACAAAAGCAAAATTATTTAAATTAAAAAAATTATCATTTTACGTCGCTATTAGTTGTTATTCACGAAATCGATTTTCCTTGTTCGATCTCTTTGGATTGTTTACGTCAATAACAGATTCTTGTATTTTTCTTGACTTAATCGTTTTCTATTTTCCACTAATATATAATCTACGACTACATTCAACTAACACTATAGAATATATGCTACTTATTTAAATGCTGCTATAAGCCTATAATCATCCTATAATCATCAAGATACCATTCTTTTGTGTAATTAACTAAGGAATTAGCTAAGATTAAAAATTAATTAATAAAGACTTTAGTTACCTTTGAGATGCTTCTTATCGTGAGACTTTTTAGGGTAAGTCCAGTCATAACATCTGTAACAATACACTTTACCAACAACTTTGAAGACGAGTGGTTTAGGGTGTGGGTGAGGATGAGGGTATGAGACCGGAGGTGGTGGTGATGAGTAGTAGTACGGTGGTGAGTACGACTTTGGTGGTGGTGGTGGCGATGAGTAGTAGTATGGTGGTGGGTAAGATTTTGGTGGTGGCGGGGATGAGTAGTAGTACGGTGGTGGTGGTGATTTAACCGGAGGAGGTGGTGAGTGGTAGTAGTATGGTGGAGGTGGAGATTTCACCGGAGGAGGTGGTGAATGGTAGTAGTAAGGTGGTGGTGGAGATCTAACCGGAGGGGGAGGAGAGTGGTAATAGTAAGGAGGAGGTGGTGATTTGACCGGAGGAGGTGGTGAGTGGTAGTAGTAAGGAGGAGGTGGAGACTTCACCGGAGGAGGAGGAGAGTGGTAGTAGTATGGTGGTGGAGGAGACTTAACCGGAGGAGGTGGTGAATGATAATAGTATGGTGGTGGTGGAGATTTAACCGGAGGGGGAGGAGAGTGGTAGTAGTATGGTGGTGGTGGAGACTTCACCGGAGGAGGTGGGGAGTGGTAGTAGTACGGTGGTGGAGGAGACTTGACCGGAGGAGGAGGAGAGTGGTAGTAGTACGGTGGTGGAGGAGACTTAACCGGAGGAGGAGGAGAGTGGTAGTAGTACGGTGGTGGTGGGGATTTGACCGGAGGAGGTGGAGAGTGGTAGTAGTACGGTGGTGGAGGAGACTTCACCGGAGGAGGTGGTGAATGATAATAGTAAGGAGGAGGAGGCGATTTCACCGGAGGAGGTGGTGAATGGTAGTAGTACGGTGGTGGAGGAGACTTCACCGGTGGAGGAGGAGAGTGATAGTAGTAAGGTGGTGGAGGAGACTTCACCGGAGGAGGAGGAGAGTGGTAGTAATACGGTGGTGGAGGAGACTTCACTGGAGGAGGAGGAGAGTGGTAGACATAAGGAGGGGGAGGGGATTTCACCGGAGGCGGGGGTGAATGATAGTAATATGGTGGTGGAGGAGACTTCTCCGGAGGTGGTGGAGATTTATATTCATAAGGAGGTGGAGGAGATTTAACCGGAGGTGGTGGAGATTTGTACTCATACGGTGGTGGAGGAGAGCTATAATAGTAAGGTTCGGTAGCCATAGCCGAGCCAACAAGTAACGCCAAAATGGCCACTACCCATTGACCCTTGGCATGACTCCATGCCGGAGTCGCCATTGTATCACCGGATAATTTCCACCGCCGGTTTAGAATATTTCTCCAAATTATTA